TTCTCTGAAAATATTCTAAGAAAACATTCTTCGAAAACGTTACTGAACGGGCCCTAATATGCTAGTCAAGCAATGCCATTTTACACACTCTAGAAAATATCATGAAAAGATACGCCAATCCAGATCATATCACATCATCCCTTCATATCTTGGTTATCCTTCATAGCATGTAACCAACTATGTGACCCCTATTGGCCTTATTGCCCTATGTCCTCGTGTGGTACATCTATCCCTCGGATACCCCAACATTGAAGTTCTCATGTTCCATGAATAATACATACTTCACAAATATTCCAATCAATATATATATAGTGTGAAAGATTGCACCAAATTAGACATGCTTGACTTGAAATAGAGAGATATTTGTAAATAGAACAAATCCATGATAATTCATGGTTTTCATATTTTATCACAAAATATGAACTTTTAGAACACATTACATAAACCACTTACCTCGATAATAAGAACCCTTAAAATAAAGTGGCAAGACAACCCATCTACCTATCTCCTCCAATATCAAATTTCTTTGCATCTCTCTTTAGTCCTCTCTAACAAATATCATGTTGCATGCATGTTATCTCTAGATATAGTAGTAAACAACTTGTAAATGCAAGCTCCCTATTTATACTAGAATAAAGGCAGCAACTATCATTCTATCATTGGTATATGTTTGGAGCTTGAGGATAAGTGCTAACATTTGGTATTAGGATAATATTTTGATGAAGTAAAGACAGCTAGCCACTTGGATAACAAGGCAACAACCTTATGTGTTTACACGTCCCTTAAGCAACCAAGGAATGGTGCCACCTCCAGCTTATGTTATCCACCTCATGCTTCTTATATACATATTTAATATAATAAAATACATATAATTATTAAAATGATAAAACAACTATATATATAAACAATTTAAATATATTACTAAATAGGTAGCAAAATATTTATTCTTCATACGTGTCTTCACATTTATTGACTCCATCACAGATTTGGTTTGATAGTTGTAAACCCTATAAGCCCTATTGGTAAGCGAATATCCTAGAAACATTCTCTTGTCACACTTTGGGTAAAATTTTGCCAAGTGTTCTCGATCTCTCAAAATTTAGCAAGTACTACCAAATACCCTGAAATACGACACATTCGGTCTTCTACCTTTCCTAAGTTCATAAGGTGTATTTCTAGTTCCAGGTCTCAAGTTCGAAATGTAACAAGCTGTATTGACACTTTCTTTGACAAATTGATTTCGGATTGAGCTTGAAACATGGGGCAACATCATAATATGTTGGGAGGAGTTGTTGTGTGAGTTTTGAGTGAAATCCAATTACTAAAACTATGCAATGCACCAACCACTCCATTTACGGTACGTATGAATTTGAAGTGTGCAATTTCTTTGTCTAATTGATTTCAGATCTAGCCCAAAACTTGAGCAACATCATAATACGGTGGGAGGAGTCATTTGATGAGTTTTGAGTGAAATCCAATTACTAGAACTATGCAATCCGCCACCCACTCCGCTTACGGTATGAACTTCATACGAACTTAAAGTGTCCAATTTTTTTGACCAATTGATTTCGGATCGAGCCCAAAACAAGGGTAACATAATAATATGGTGGGATGAGTCATTTGGTGAGTTTTAAGTGAAATCCAATTACTAAAACTATGCAATGCACCAACCACTCCATTTACGGTACGTATGAATTTGAAGTGTGCAATTTCTTTGTCTAATTGATTTCAGATCTAGCCCAAAACTTGAGCAACATCATAATACGGTGGGAGGAGTCATTTGATGAGTTTTGAGTGAAATCCAATTACTAGAACTATGCAATCCGCCACCCACTCCGCTTACGGTATGAACTTCATACGAACTTAAAGTGTCCAATTTTTTTGACCAATTGATTTCGGATCGAGCCCAAAACAAGGGTAACATAATAATATGGTGGGATGAGTCATTTGGTGAGTTTTAAGTGAAATCCAATTACTAAAACTATGCAATGCACCAACCACTTCATTTACGGTACGAACTTCGTTCGAACTTGATGTGTCCAATTTCTTTGATCAGTTGATTTTGGATCGAGCCGAAAACTTGGGCAACATCGAGGAGTCATTTGGTGAGTTTTGAGTGAAATCTGATCACTATAAATATTCAATGCACCACCCACTCCATTTACGGTACGAACTTGAAGTGTCAAATTTCTTTGACTAATTGTTTCCGGATCGAGCCAAAAACTTGGGCAACATCATAATATGGTGGAAGGAGTCATTTGGTGAGTTTTGAGTGAAATCCAATCACTAGAAATATGGAATGCTCCACCCACTCCATTTACAGTACGAACTTCGTACGAACTTGAAGTGTCCAATTTCTTTGACCAACTGATTTCGGGTCGAGCCCAAAACTTGAGCAACATCATAATATGGTGGGAGGAGTCATTTGGTGAGTTTTGAGTGATATCCAATATGTAAAACTATGCAATCCTACAACCACTCCATTTACGGTACGAACTTCGTAGAACTTGAAGTGTCCAATTTCTCTGACCAATTGATTTCGAATCGAGCCAAAAACTTGGGCAACATCATAATATGGTGGGATGAGTCATTTGGTGAGTTTTGACTGAAATCCAATGTGTAAAACTACGCAATCCTACAACCACTCCATTTACAGTACGAACTTGAAGTGTCCAATTTTTTTGACCAATTGACTTCGGATCGATCCCAAAACTTGGGCAACAACATAATATGGTGGGAGAAGTCATTTAGTGAGTTTTTAGTGGAATCCAATCAGTAAAACTATCCAATGCTCCAACCACTCCAAATATTGTATGAACTTCGTACGAACATGAAGTTTCCATTTTCTTTGACCAATTGATTTCGAATCGAGCCCAAAACTTGGGCAACATCATAATATGGTGGAAGGAGTCACTTGGTGAGTTATGAGTGAAATCCAATATGTAAAACTATGCAATCCTACAACCACTCCATTTACGGAACGAACTTCGTACAAACTTGAAGTGTCCAATTTCTTTGACCAATTGATTTTGGATCGAGCCCAAAACGTGGGCAACATCATAATATGGTGGGAGGAGTCATTTGGTTAGTTTTCAATGGAATTCAATCACTAAAATTGTGCAATGCTCCAACCACTCCAAATACTGTATGAACTTCGTACGAACTTGAAGTGTCCAATTTCGTTGACCAATTGATTTCGGATCGAGCCTAAAACTTGGGCAACATCATAATATGGTGCGAGGAGTCATTTGGTGAGTTTTTAGTGGAATCCAACACTAATGCTATGCAATGCTCCAACCACTCCAAATACTGTACAAACTTCGTACGAACTTGAAGTGTCCAATTTCTTTGACCAACTGATTTCGAATCGAGCCCAAAACTTGGGCAACATCATAATATGGTGGAAGGGGTCACTTGGTGAGTTTTGAGTGAAATCAAATGTGTAAAACTACGCAATCCTACAACCACTGAATTCATGGAACGAACTTCGTACGAACTTAAAGTGTCCAATTTCTTTGACCAATTGATTTCGGATCTAGCCCAAAACTTGGGCAACATCTTAATATGGTGGGAGGAGTCTTTTGGTGAGTTTTCAATGGAATCCAATAACTAAAACTATGCAATGCTCCAACCACTCTAAATACTGTACGAACTTCGTACGAACTTGAAGTGTCCAATTTCTTTGATCAATTGATTTCGGATCGATCCCAAAACTTGGGCAGCATTATAATATGATGGGAGGAGTCAATGATTCCATAAAGGTATCATTAACCAATATCGTGGTTCTCCCACTCTGGTATCGTTGACTAATTATATTGCCAATTGGTTTCGGATGACTAATAGGCAGCATCATGGGCCTGTATGCAAGTACGAATTTTAATATTTCACTACCCAACCACACTTCTTCTATTATAATAGGGGTCTTGTAGACCTTACGCCCGAACTTGCCAGCCCTGTTATATTTGGCTCGTCCGGCTATACTCTTTTAATATTTTATATTTCAACAATATAGCCCTGCGGTTGTACTATTTATATTTAAAAAAAAAAAAAGACCTAGTATTGCCCCGTGGTCGTACTATTTATTAGAAAAATTATCATTTTGGCAAGTTACAACTGAAAAGTTCCGCCATTATATAATATTTTACAATAATTTATTGTAATATTTTAATATATATTATTTTTTATCAATAATATGTGGAAATTATGTCTATAATACATGAAGTTTGTGTGTATTATTGAAAAATTCGTAATAAAAATACGGGTATTAAACATGAAAAACACATACGTACATCTATTTTATTGTTTGCTTTTAAAAAAAAAAAAACTTGTATTTTACCTTGCCTTTAAAATGTGTAAGGAAAACGGAAGTATTATTGAAAAATACATACGTACGTGTATAATACGAGTATTAAACGGGAAAATAATAAATTCTTTATACGAATAATAACTCTAGAAAAGTAAAAAATCAAAAGGGGACAATAGAGACTTGGGTAATGGCCTAATAGTAATGGATAATGCTCTAAACTACTCTTATTTATAAACGAAAAATCAGAAAAATTAGTTGAATTTATTTCTTTATTTTGCACTTGGGGAAAAGGTCTGTACCTTTTGAATAGGTAGAAAAGCTGAATTAGGAGGATTATAATTTGATAAGCATCTTGTGTTGGAAGATGATGGGCAGCTAGGTTTTTGTATGTACCTTCACATTTGACTGGACCTTTTGGAATAACCAATAACTCCAAATAAACTATAGAACAGTGAAAAATATAATCAGTGGCGGTTATCTTCTATATATATAAAGCAAAATGCAGAGAATGGTGAAACATTTAAAAACCCGAATATGCCATTTATCAAAGAAAAAATTAAAAGCGCACAATTTTAATTAAAGCAGGGTACAATTGTAAAAGAACAATTACGCAGAACTTTAATTAATTTAAAAAGAAAACAAAATAGGTACATACCCATTACAGAGCAGTTGCTCTTCTTATCAGTTTATTCTGGCACGTTCTATTGAAATAGGATTAAGGATTTAAAAAAGAAAACTGAAAAGAAAACTGAAACGGTCGAAAACCCACCACGACCCTCAAACTTGGAACACTTTTCCTCACTCACCCATGTTTTGCAGAGCAAGAATCCTCATCTACTCACTGCATAATAGTAAGGGGGCAAACGGATTCAGCATCACCAATTGTAGAAAGTGGACGAGGATTAACTCTTCCACTGATCGATTATACTAATTCAGTTCTGTATTTCGTACAAAAAGGTTTGAGGTTTTCTTTTGTTTTTCTACATTCGTTTCTTCCTTTGTGATGTCGAAAATTGAGAAGTAAATCATAAATTGAGTTTGGTTTGTTGTTACAGTGAGGAAGATTGAAGGAAAAAGAACTTCAGCAATCAATATAGGGGTACGTATCTCTCTTTAATTTTGGGTTTTTTTTCTTTTCTTTTTGAATGGAATTCATCTTCGAATTAATCATATTTGTTAGATTATTCTTGCATGTCGTGTTGTTTCTCAAATAAGGGTTCTTCATCTGCTATCATGCTTGAGATTTTTTCTTATGATCTTTTCATCCGTGAATACATGACAGAAATGAGATTTTGATTTTGTAAGGATCAGAGAATTGTGCAGCAGAGTTTTGGTCATTCATTTCTTTTTGAATTTGCAATAGCAGTGTTAATTGTATCATGGTTTCTTCTTTCTGTTGTTTCGTAGAGCAAGAATCCTCATCTACTCACTGCATAAAAAGGTTGGAGGTTTTTTATTTTTTTTTTCTAGGTTTGTTTCTTCATTTGTGATGTCGAAAATTGAGAAGTAAATCATAAATTGAGTTTGGTTTGTTCTTACAGGGAGGAAGATTGAAGGAAAAAGAACTGGAGCAATCAATATTGGAACCCCCAGTCTGCTCATCAATCTGGTAGTTCATGTCTTTGTGTGGCTGATTTTCTCTTTACCTGTGTTTATTCCAGAAAATTGGTATAAAATTATGGTATGATTTTGTGTGCTTATTTTCGTTTTTTCTTTTTGTGAATTTTTGCCAAATATAGTGTAATTGAGAGAGTTGAGAATGTATAATAAGAAGAACAAGATAGGTTTTGCAGAGAATTCAAATCTGCCAATTGAGTTTCTTACTTAGTGAAGGGTTAGATATACAAGTATACAAGGTGATTATTAGTTACAAACAATGCACAAGACATGGAGGGAAACATGGAGAGTTTCCATCCCTAAAACAAGGAATATGAAAACAAGGAAAAGTAACAAGGTGGTAGACAAGCCATTTAGGGATGTCTATGTTTTGTCTTTGACTTTACTAACACTCCCCCTCAAGTTGGTGCAAAGATATCACGCATGCCCAACTTGTCCAGTGAGTCATGGAAAACTTTACTTGATACGGCCTTCGTCAAGATGTCAGCAAGTTGGTTTTCCGAGTTTACAAATGGAAACTTGATTATACCCCTTTCTAGTTTCTCTTTGATGAAGTGTCGGTCGACTTCCACATGTTTGGTACGGTCGTGTTGTACTGGGTTATGTGCTATCTCGATAGCTGATTTATTGTCGCAGTACAAGTTTGTAGCTTTCAATGGTTTAATTCCCAGATCCTTCAGTAATTTCCGTAACCAGAGCAATTCACAAACTCCTTGAGCCATTCCCCTAAATTCTGCTTCAGCACTTGATCTAGCCACAACTTTTTGCTTCTTACTTCTCCAAGTGACTAAGTTGCCCCCCACAAATGTAAAGTATCCAGAAGTAGAACGTCTATCTGTGATGGATCCTGCCCAATCCGCATCTGTGTATCCTTCTGGGTTCATATGTGTATGTTTGGAGAATATCAACCCCTTGGCAGGGGCAGCCTTCAAGTACCTCATGATCCGAGTTACTGCATTCATGTGTGCCTCACTTGGTTGATGCATAAACTGACTCACCATACTCACAGCATAAGCTATGTCGGGGCGTGTGTGTGATAGATAAATCAGTCGCCCAACCAATCTTTGATACCTTTCTTTGTCAGTGGGTACTTGGTCTGGATACATCCCTAACTTGTGGTTCTGCTCAATAGGTGTGTCAGCTGGCTTACAATCAAGCATTCCAGTATCTGTTAACAAGTCTAACACATATTTTCGTTGGAATAGAAATATGCCATGTGTTGATCTAGCAACTTCTATGCCAAGAAAATATTGTAACTCACCTAATTCCTACATCTCAAATTTACTAGCAAGGAGCTTCTGCAAATTCTTCATTTCTTCATTGTCATTACCGGTAACCACCATATCATCAACATAGATGATAAGGGCCGTAAGTTTGTCACCACGACGCTTTAAGAATAAAGTGTGATCCAAGTGGCTCTGAGTGTACCCAAAGCGCTTCATAGAATCTGTGAATTTTCCAAACCAGGCTCATGGTGACTGCTTTAGCCCATATAATGATTTTCTCAGCTTGCACACGGTGTTGGGACCAAGTGCCATGGAGATCCCTGGTGGTGGTTCCATATACACTTCTTCTTGCAATTCCCCGTGAAGAAATGCATTCATTACATCATACTGCAATAGTGGCCAATCAAGGTTTGCAGCCAATGACATGAGAACACGTACGGTATTGATCTTGGCAACAGGTGCAAATGTCTCTTGGTAGTCAATTCCATATGTTTGTGTATACCCTTTGGCCACTAATCGAGCTTTGGATCGATCTATGGATCCATCAGCTTTGTATTTAATGGCGTATATCCACCGACATCCAACTGGTTTCTTCCCTTGTGGCAACTGGACCATTTCCCATGTAGAATTCTTTTCCAGAGCTTCCATTTCAATCGCCATTGCTTCAGCCCATCTGGAATCTGTTATAGCATCCTGCCACTTATTTGGAACACATACAGTAGATAATTGATTGACAAATGATGCATATGACTTTGACAATCTATGAGTTGAAACATGGTTATTAATGGGATATTTAGATTTGGCAGTAAGGTCAGGACAATATTGAGGCTTGGGTTTTCCTCTAGTGGTCCTAGGTGGGAGAGTGTATGGTATAGCATTAGGTGCTTCGGGAATTACCTCAAGTGTTTCCTCATCACGAGACGACTGGTCCGATGGTTGAGAAGAAGGGGTTGTATTTTGTTGTTGATCGCAGCAACCATTTGAATTGTCTCCTCCGGGATCTTCACCAAATAAGAACGACAATTTTCCAATACCTTCATCGCTGCCCAAATTTTGAAGTTCACTGGTGCTTGGCGACCGGTCGCTGGGTTCTGTGCGACCGGTCGTTTTGTCACAAAGTCGATTTTCCTCCCTGGAGTCTGGACGACCAGTCGCTTCTATATTACGACCGGTCGTTTTGTCACAGAGTCGATCTTCATCATCCCTAGAGCAATGCGACCGGTCGCTGTGGTCAGTGCGACCGGTCGTTTCAGGAAAGCGACCGGTCGCTTCTGGGTTGCGACCGGTCGTTTTGTCACAGACTTGGATATTTTCTTCCTTTTCTTCCTTCTCTTCATTCCTTCTCTCCCCCTGAAGAGAAGGGGGCATAGCAGCTTTAAAGTAGGATAAATCTTCATGAAATGTGGCATCCATAGTGACAAAGAGCTTACGAGTAGGAGGATGGTAACACTTGTATCCCTTTTGAGTTGATCCATACCCAACGAACTCTTTTTTAATTCTAAAATAAATTTAAATTTTTTTAAAAAAAGCCTCTCGCAGGCGCAGAAGCGTGTGCAGAGAGGCTAGTATATATAAAGCAAAAGGCAGAGAATGGTGAAACATTCAAAATACCAGAAAATGCCCTTGGTTAATGCAAACATTAGGAATTGAAATTATTAATTAAATGAGGATAATATGGTAAATTCACACTTTTTCATATTTAAAAAAATAAAAATTAAAAGAAAAATCAGATAATGGCCTATTTTTATGGAACACAACTACCCATTATCTTTTTAATTCTAAAATAAATTTTAATTTTTTAAAAAAAAGCCTCTCGCAGGCGCGGAAGCGCGTGCAGAGAGGCTAGTATTGATAATAAAAGGTATTTCATGAAAACTATTTTCCAACATTGGTAACGGAAATTTTTCATTCCTAATAAATAAATAAATAAAAGACACTGTAGATCATAAGGCTAGATTGTGAAGCATACCCAAAAAGAATGATAAAATGCTCTAAATTACGTACTGATTTGTGCTTGAACATTTCTGTCGATAATCTTACTCATATGATATTTATAGAAAAAACCCAAAGAAACATCTCATGATCTCTCTCTCTAGCTCAAGTAGTATCACGGTAGGGTGATGAAGTGGGTGAAAAAGAAGAAAGTTTTTTTAAATCATTTTTGTGTCTGTTAAAACTTAATTGAGTGCTATGTCCTGAAAAATTCACAATAGCAAATGCTCTATTTATGTTCTCTCCAGTTCTAGTTGACGGTAAATGAATTCTAGTACAATCCATAAGGCAAAAATATCCTCGGTGACAAATGATTGCTCATGATCAATACAGTTTTCATTTGGAAATTGAAGCTGCTCGTAACTTAGCTGTCTGGAAGCTTCATACAAAGCAATGCCAACACTTACAGAGAGATTCAGACATCTTACATAAGTTTCAACAATTGGAATCCTAATGGTCCCATGACCATGTCTTTTAGATTTACGATACGAACTTCGCACGGTATTGTTTCAACTTCTTTTTAAAACACGATTATCTGTATATAGAGGGATGTGAGTAAGAAGTAAATAAACGAGAGGTGTTAGAGGCTTAAAGGTATCTTGTATTATAATGTTGCCATACAAGAGGTGACAAGTACCTTCCTGACTAATGTGTTGACCATATAAAGGTAATGTGAGTGGGTGGAACCATGACCTCATTTTGCGTTGTTTCAACTTCTTTTTAAAACATTGACGTCTGAATCCTTTAACATGGCATACCTTTATTGAAAACCGACGTAAAAATTCCTAACCACGACCCCTGTCGTTAATCACAGACATTAAAAATGATTTTGACGGCATAAGGAAAAGAAACGCTGTGGATTATAGCTTGAGCGGTGGTTAATGTAAAATGGCAGCCATGGTTAGGTCCTTTACTACGTCCCAAGCATCCAATTTGTCAACTTTCTTATCCACTTACCATGTCGGTTTTTGTATGGGCCTTGACGTGGTTGGCCTTTTAAAAGTCGCTTTTGTAAACCTGTTTGATGTGTGTATTCTTTGAGATGTCAACTGATTTAGCCTAATCGACGTGCAGAACTGCTGTCACGACAGTTAATGAAACTGAGTTGCCTTTATTTCTGACTTTAGACGACGGTAACTATTAATCGGTGGAAGTAGTGTTTTCCTAAAATTCGTTGGTTGGAGCACTGTTCCATCGTGTTATTTTTAAATCTACGGCATTGTTGGTAATATCTATTAGCCGCGTGTAATTTAATTTTAATTAACCGACGTGTTTTCTTTTTCAAATGGCAGTTTTTATTTCTTTACGGTCTTTTGTATTGTCATTCCACGTCGTTTGTAAAAATACGACGTTGGTTATGTTTTAGACGTCTGTTTTTTCAGTTTTTTTCAACTGAACCGTCGTATTTTACACCTTTAACCCAGTATTTTTATTTTTTGATTTGTCGTGCCCAAAGCCTGCATAATGAAAATGTGATCAGAATTAAAATGATATACAGAGCTATTAATTAATGTCATACAATTAACTACATAACTAATGTCATACGTTACAACAATCAATCAATCCATGTATCTTCACACCCATCTCTAATATTTTCCCTTCCAAACTCACCCACTAGGTCATCAAATGTGTCAACATTTGGTATCTCTCTAGGAAATGGCTCACACTCAATTCTAATATCACCTAGCACATCATCACCAATCATATCATTATATTCTCTATTAGGCATTGATAACACTATCGACCAACCACGATGCATTGGGCCGTCAACAAAAAATACTTG